TGTTTCGATTAAAAACGTATCATGTATGTTCAACATACCCGCAGCTCGTTTCTAGCAATGCTCCCTCCACTTGAAGCGATGCCATACCAAAGTCAGCGATTTTTATGTTGCTCCGGTCATCGAGGAGAAGATTTTCCGGTTTCAAATCCCTATGGCTAAAAGCAAAACAGTCCCGTTAATTTAAGCCACAATATAATATCAGCTCACCAAATATTGTGCGCATGGCAGTAATCGAGAGCGGAAAGAATCTGACGGAAAAATCGTCGCGCTTCTTTCGGGGGTAATCGACCCTTTCTTACCAAATAGTCAAACAATTCGCCACCGCTAACATGCTCCAGGATTAAATACCTAAACATTGTTTCAAATCGGTCAAACATAAGAGGTTAAACCATTTGAACTTAAAAATATAAAGAAGCGTTGTCTGTTTTCGAGTTGCATGTGAATTTTTTTGTGCTCAGAATTTCAAATACCTTCCGTACCAGCCCTGGAAGGAGTGAAAAGTCGAATGAGACTGTCCACAGTACTCCGAGAAAAGAACACAAAATCAAGATACTCTATGCTTCGAAGTTTACTTAAGGCTTCTAAAATACACATTCAATGACAACTGAATTAATAACAGGTTTTCTACATTGAAAAGTGTTTGGTTTTAGTAGACGCAAAAATCACCGTCGATCAGTAATATACTGTTTACTTATAACTATATAATTTTAGTCAGTTATTAAATTCAATTTTAATTCCAGTTCTACTGATGGATTATGAATGTCACTTCCGAGAAATGCTTCGACTTATTCACACAAAATCTCTGAAACAGTACACTAAGTTTGACATAGAACTAGCTCGCAAACTGCAATATCATTCAGGTTGCCTTTTTAACTGAATAAGCAAACAATATAAAATCAGTAGTTAAAGCGAAGAATCTAAGATATTCCAATTTGTGTGATTCACGACTGAATAAAGAAGTAAACAGCGCTTTTGTCGTTTTACAGCACAGAAGCTGAAGCCTAATAATTTCTACTGCTACCACAAATCAACGGACTCTTGCGTGGTTAACAGAAAGTTCATGAGAAATATATGTAACGACAAAAAATAAAATAAATTATACAGAAGAAAAATAATACTTTTATTATTGATGCTAATGTTACTAGGGTAAGATGTAG